GTGTTAGGGTTTTAGGGTTAAGGGTTTAGGGTTTGGGGTGTAGGATTTAGGGTTGCGATAGATAGTCCCACAGCAGGGACCAGCTCCCTCGTACGGCCAGGTGGCATTTAAGTATGTCACGTGACCGCCACTCGAAGTACTAAGGCATCTATATCACAGAGCCCTTCTTCCAGAACTGCTGTAGAAATCTTTGTGGTAACCCGCGGAGCCCCTCAAAGGGAGCCTAAACGGGCTTATTTTCCGCCCAGGCTCAATTTGCCTCTGGACCCTAGATCCTAAAGCCCGAACCCTAAACCCTAAACCCTAAACTTTAGGGTTTGAGTTTGGGTTTGGGGGTTGATGGTTTAGGGTTTAGTGGTTTAGGGTTTAGGGCTTTAGGGCCTAAAGCCCTAAACCCTAAACCCTAAAGGCCCAAACCCTTAACCCTGAGCCCGAACTCCACAATCCGCAAGCCGAAGCCCTCAACCCTAAGCTAATCCCTACTGTACCCAAAAAGGGTTTAGGGTTTAGGGTTCAGATACCATATAGGAATTCAGACGTAGTACAGGAGAAAAAGGCCCTTACTTTTAAGGATCATTTGTTCTTCAAGGTAAGCCAAGCCACACAGTACATTTCCATCAGGAGCTTCATGCTACTATGAGTCGAGGGTTGGAATAATTAGCAATCGGGTTCCCTTGTGGTCCGTATAACCATGATTATAGCTGATTATAGTAAAGCATACCTCCCGAAACCCTATTCTAAGCTTAAAGGCCTCTAAATCTAGAGTCCTAAACCCTAACCCCCCTTTTCCAACGTTAAAGGCCCCTAAATCGGCAGCGGATTCCCTTGTGACTGCGCTGGCTGCGCGAATACCACTTGATGTAATATAGAAGCCTTAATAATTACCTATATAGTTTTGGGGGTTCCTTACTATAATTATACTATAAAGGACAGCAGCACCCTATTCTAATTATTAAGGCCACTATAGTAATTTCGTTAGTCTTTGGGAGAGGACTTCATCTCTTCTATCGTTTCCGCGCGTTTGCAGAAGTGTAATTCTCCGGCATTTGCATCAGTTGTTTGCTGTCAACAAGTCATGGGTGGACGGCTTCCCACTGAAGTGACTTACAGATGATCTTGCAGATGCAAACTTTCGCAGGCCGGTTTGACTCGAAGAAAGCATGAACGGGGGAGAGTGAGCTACCGGTACGCCGAATTGTGCGGATCTTTTCAAGGCTTTCATCCAGAAGCACGGATCGACTCTCAAGAAGCATAGCACAATGAGCAATATCGGCAATGAGCAGCTAGTTGCATGAAAGTGCAAGCCACTGAAATCGACATCACTGTGCCAAGGTTTTTCTTTTCTGGACACCGGCCCGATCCATAGCGTTCTCAGCTCCACCCCCGCGCAGGTGATCCAGCCGCTCAGGAGCCCGCACGCGGAGATGTCTTCGCGGAGTTCGCCGCACTGGTGGCCTCGGTTGCATTGGATCTGGATTCAGGGTTTGAGGCTTACTATAGAAGCCTAAATAGTTTCCAATATTATTCCTCAGGGTTCCTTATCATAACTATAGTATACTATNNNCCCCCCCCCCCCCCCCCCTATATTAGTGTCACGCTGAGGAACAACTGACTGATGATCAAGCAGCACACTGCAGGAGCAGCAGTTCCAAAAACAGCTCGCTACACATCGGAAGAGAGAGAGACCCCAAATTCAAGCCGATGGCCTTCTGTCGTGGCTCAGAGAACTGTCAGGGACCACATCTCTGAATGGAGCATCGTTCTTCTTCTGGCAGCAACCCGAAACCCTAAACCCATA